AATAAGTGGTAGTTTTAGAACTTTAAAAGATATCTCTGTCATACAAATCATGTACATTTAGTTCATGGAAAATTCATTCTTGCAAAACACAAATGAAAGTTAATGCATTTTTCCATACTTCATACAAGTAACCCTAAACCAACCAAATATTATGTTGTTGGTTTTTTAATACAAATTTAAACATATTTTGTTATGGAATGCATACCAGTAGCAGCCAATTGATTTCTTTGCAACTGTTCCCTGGATGGATTTTTTGCTGTTGTCTATTATCTGTGAAATCCATTAAACTTCAAAATAATATATATAAGCATCATATCCATAAACAAAAAGTCCATTGCATATTTTACTCCTAAGCAGAATTGATTACCAGCAATGCTGAGCCTATGTTGACAATTTCCCGCATTATAGCAATATGCCATTTACTAGTAACCTTACTCCAAACTCCCAATCAAATCATTGGTAGTTTTAGAACTTAAAAAGATATCTCTTCATACAAATCACAGTTACTGTGTACATTAAGTTCATAAAAAATTCTTTCTTGCAAACACAATTTGTTATATATATATATATATATATATATATATATATATATATATATATATATATTAACAAATGAAAGTTAATGCATTTTTACATAGTTCATACTACTAACCCTACACCAACCAAATTGAATATAATGAGAGCTTATGGAAGGTATTTCTTTCCTTTAAATCTTGGAATGACATGCAGATCTCGAACATCATCATGGTTGAGAAGCCAGCACAAATAACGCTCAGATCCCATGCCCCAACCACTGGTCTTCATTGGCTTCTCTGTGCGCATGTCTGTGTACCATGTGTACGAACTGTGAGGTACAGCGTGGTGGTCCAAGGCCTGCTCAACTTCAGTTGCTGTAGCATGACGTTCACCTAGACCAAGGGTTTCTCCTAGGCCAATCAAAAGATCAGCAGCCAATGCCTTCTTGCGTGTATCATCAGTATAACACTGGTAGAAAGGAACTCCCAAGTGGTCCATCTCTGTCAGCCAGATGGCCCCTCCATACTTGTCAATCAAAAAACGTTCTCCCCTTCTGGTTACTTTTTTCCCCATTTCTGGCTTACCAGGGACCACATCTTCATAGCAATCATCGCTTGGAAACATTGCAATCGCTTGGTCCACTGTGACACGTGGCAGTGATTTTCCACCCTTCATAATTTCAACGAGTTGCTCTGCATGTTCTGTTGTCCCTGCTGTGGCCAGGATAAACTGCCTGTGTGATTTCAGCATGCTCTTTGTCAGGTGATAGATGTAGCCCTCAGCAACACTGATTGCATCATCCATCTTTCCGAGTAACTCGCATTCTATATGGTAGAACTGGTTCAGATGAGTTGCATCAGGGTCCTCTCCACGGAAGCTTGGAGATATGTAGTATGTGCCTTGAAGGCCATCTTGGAAACGCAAGAAGTATTCTAGGGTGAATTGCATGGAATCTGCCAGGAAGATCTTTTGCCCAAACAAGTCGATTTGGACTGGCTCTGAATCTGATCCCAATCCCATGGGAGAAGAGATGCAATCAGTGGTCAGTGGGGTCAGGGCATAATTGTACTTGCACCGCTGGTTGAAGTAGTCAACTGTGGCATGGAACAGCGTGTTCTGAACCTGAAAGACATTTTGGTACCAAGTGCTGTGGATGGCTGCAATTGAATGGGTCTCTGGGTCTTCCCAAGATTTAGGTGCTGTAATGGAATCTGTTGTTAAAAAAGAATGCAGACTTTTTAATTCACTGTCATCCCCCTCAGGGCCATCTGCAGAGGATACAAAGCCAAGGTAGGTCTTCCTATACTCTGCCTTTGAGTTGTTCCTTGTTTTTCTTGCAGTGCTGTTGGTAGCAAACACAGGTATAAGCTTCACATGAGCATAATCAATTTCACACCCTTCAAAGATCATTGCACAATGCAAAGCCCCAAGACTCTTCTTGAGTAAATTTGCTACTTTATAGCCAGCAATAACAAGCTTTCTGTAGTCTTCATTTTCAAGGTTGAATATGTCACTTGACAGGTGCCTTCTTGGGGCCAGCACTGTAAACCCAGGGGTGTTGGGAAAGGGTGTCAGGAAGGCTACATGGTCTTCATCTTCCCAAACCCGCCAGTGTTCCTCTTCATTTCGCACAATTCTGGCAAAAAGGTTGTTATCTGAAGATTCACCATGGAAAACATTGCTTACATTCTGTAATGCTGATAATGATGTTATAGACTTTTTGATGCGATCAAGTTCTTGATTGGAAAGTCTGGGGCCATTTTTGGATGATACATAACCTGGGTATTCGTCATTATATTCTTCATCTGCTGATGTCACTGGTTCCCAGACTTGACCCAGACCGTGCAAAGGCACAAGCTTCATGTGAGCTGGAAGCATTGGTGATGGTGCTGATACCATGGCACATCTCTGTACTTTAAGTTTCTTTTGCAGAAATGGGACAATGCCATGGACTTCCATCATCAAAGCTTCATAATCTTGAAGGGGCATTTGAAACAAGTCAACACCCTTCTTGGTAGATTTTGATGTAATAAGTATTACGCCTGGTGTTGAAGGGTACTCATGAAGATGGATATTGCATTCTTTGCCATCTTTGATTTTGAGGTGATCTCGTGGCATTGGATTCGGGCCTGAACCTTTCATCATCACTTCTGAGGCAATGGCTCCATTTTTCTCCATAGATGCAACAAACATGACATTAGAATTAAACTCAACTGCAATATTGCCATCTTTGTCAACTGCTACAATGCCCCCCTTGTGGTTCTGAAGGTTATTCTCAAGGGAATACTTGCAGGCCTCTTTAATAGAGAGCTTTTTGTAGTCAACCAACTTGGCAACATCATGAGCCATGGCATTTCTTAGGAAAGCTTCCCCATCACCTGAGCATGCAACTGCAACCCTCTCATCAGCAAAGCAACCAGCACCTGGTATTCCTGTGTCACCAACTCTTCCCTCCATCTTATTCAGCACCCCACCAGTGGATGTAGCTACTGCAAGGTTACCATATACATCTACAGCAACAGCACCAACAGTCTGAGGATGGTTGTGTTTTGATTTGGAAGATGCCACTTGCCTGAATTGCTGTTCTCGCATGAATGTTTTGAAGTATTTGTTTGGTACAGTAGCCAAACCATTCTCTTTGCTAAGGGTTTCAGCTTTTTCACCAATCAGAAGAACATGTTTGGTTTTGTCACAAACCAATCGTGCAGCTTCAACTGGGTTCTTCACACTTTTCAAACATGCTGCAGCTCCACATTTTCCAGTATTCCCGTCCATTATGCATGCCTCAAGCTCATGCTCCCCAGATGCATTGAGCACAGCTCCTTTGCCTGCATTGAAAAGGAAACAGTTCTCCAAGCTGACAACAGTGGCCTGAACAGCATCAAGACTAGGTTTCCCTTCAGCCAACATCTTAGAACCAACTGATAGTGCAGCCTGCATGGCAAACTCAATCAACTTCTTAGCTTTGTTGTCTTGCTTGAAGTCCTCACCAGCACCAGCATGGAGAACAATGGAGAATGGATGTTCACTTTTGCTTGACATCTGTAAGCTTTCCAGAGCACCCATCTGCTTGGCAAGAGAAAATGGCACAACAGTCTGCATAACAGCATCTATGCTTTGCCTTAGTGTCTCCAAAAACTTTGAAATATGGCACTGATAAAACCCATTGGCTGCAATTTGAAAGGCTATCTTGTCTGGTTTAGCATGGTAGGCTATGCAAAGTTGATTTGGAGCATAAACATTTGCCACAGAAGTGACAAGACCCTTAACACCATCATTACCTGTGAAATATACCTCTGGTATCTGAAGCATCTTCAGGTATGAAATAAGGGTTGCATCAACATTTGCTTCGGTCAAGAGGATATTACGCAATGCTGCAATATGAGGTCCGAATGCCTTGCCTTGTTTGGTTTCTCTTATCAGGTTTTTGTGCATTTGAACCGCAGCAGCAAATTTTGGAAAGAGGACACAATGTGGTTCTTTGGCTATAAGGGAATCTATGAAGCTCCGTGATTGGTCTGTAACTGGCATTGTTGGATCACTTCTCCCATCTATAAAGCGGCGCACATGAGTAGGTTCCACCATCAAAATCTTCAAAGTGCTTTTGGTCAAATGCAATGCAAGCTGTGTTGAAAGGTTCATCCAAATGTTGATCAAACGTTGTTCCCGCATAAGATTCATAATGTCAGGAAGCATGGGTATATCTAGTTCACTCACAATGCGATCACTGCCATTGGTCGGGATATTTGTCTGGATTTTCTTTTGGTCTTGTGTTGAAATATGGAAGTCCAGGGGACAAGCTGGGATGGATGACATTACAGGGTCAAGGTTTTCGTCGAATGAGAGATTTTTTGGAAGGTGGGTTAATAGATAGACCAAGGCACCTGGTACTGTTGCATCCACACTAGTGTGTTCTACTAGCATACCTGTCTTGCCATCCTTATACACAACAAGGTTGATGACTTTGTCATAGTAGCGAGAATGCTGGGTACCATTCCCAAGACGGGTGGCCTCTAAGATTTTACTCCTGGTATCAGGTGCATTTCTTTCCTCCAAGCTGAGGGCTAGGATGGCGCTCTCCATGATATGGATGGCTTCACTGGCACCTCTTTGGATCAATGATCCCCGAATACCAGCCCATGTTGGACGATCAAGGGCTGAAAAAGGAGCTATGCTAGGTGGGGCATCATCATGTCTAGTAACTGCTTGCAGCTGTTGGTAGATTTTCTCTAATGAAACAGGTTGGCCATTTGGTTGGATGACATCGACCTATATAAAATAAAGCATACAATGAACGTTAGAACTTTATAGCAAAATTTTCAAAGAAATTATGCTGAGGTGTTCACTGTAAACTACAAACAACTACTGTTGCAGTGTGCAAATGGAGTTTTTAACCTGCATTGCAAGTAATAAATATGAGGGCATTCAGAACAATTTAATCAGTGGATCAGTTAGTCTGCGGATCATCTGTTCTGAATGCGCTCTATGCCATGTGTTGTTATTTAGCATTGATTGTTTGTTAGAGAAACATTGATATCCAAGATTATAACAGTGAAAAATTACAAATGTCATTTGTCTAAGGGACCATTCCCACAGATATTTGGATCGATCTATCTCCCTGGGGAGTCTCACTAAATTGTTATCATCTTAACTGGGCTAAATGTCTGACACACCCAGTAAAGCTGTTAGGGGTCATTATCTTTACCCCCTGGTTCAGTAGGTGTGACAGACAGTTAAGTCCCATAGTTAATAGCAAATTAGTGAGACACACCAGGGAGTTAGACCGATCCAGATGGATCGATCTAGGCATGGGAACCCAGTCTAAGATAAGACTGAAATCTTTAGATAAAGGATAGGTCTAAATTTATATGTTAGCAAATGCATTTGTACGAGTCGAGTAAAAAAGAAATGAAATCACTATCATAACCCAATTCATACACTGTTTTGGACCAATAACTACTTTGCTTTTACAAAATGTGAATATAAACATTGATAGATTGAATGACCAAACAAAAACAAAAGCCATGTAACACATTTTCACAATGATAACGTAGTCTTTTTTAAAATAAATATGTAAAGGTATACAGAAGGACTGCTATCTTGTTCCAGGCATCTGGGGAGCTGACAGACTTAATACTCGACTATAAAGCAATAATCGGTTTTTTTTTTTAGTTATTGAGTCTACTTTTTATTGTTTTCGGTGTTAAAATATAAAAGTACCTTAAAAGCTGCCCCTTTGTGTAAAACGACGACGTGTCGAGAGTTTGTAAATGTAGCAAGAGTATCCATTTCTAGACCTGGAACTCTGCTTGAAGACAGCATGTAATGAGCCTGGCTGGTCTCCAGTCGTTCTCCTCGTTCCATTCCAATGCAGTTGGTGAGATGTTCCGGTCTTGCCTGTTGTATAAATTTTGTTTAAGTTTTTGTTATATCTTAATCTTTCCAGATAAAAAAACTTTCACATAAAACATACCAAGTCAAAACCTTCTTAGTCAAATTTAGGTTATTTAGATTACATTACATAAAAAATCAGTTTTGGATTAACGAATTCTACAGACATTACAGGCGACTAATATTAGGTAGGCCTACACAACAAATTGAATAACTGCATGCAGTGGTATTTGATACTGCAGTGGTATTTGATATCTAGATCTCAATCATAAATACTAATTAAAAAAATTACCCTATTAGTAAAGAGCTAAAAGAAACTCTCACCTTGACACAAGCTGTAGCGTGCAACAGGGTAGCAGCCCTACGCAGCTGGTCGCTGTGCTTCTCGTCGTCCTCTAAAAGACCGGTTATCACCGTAGAATTGGGAATTGGGCATCGAAGGGACAGCAGGCTTTCATGGAAACCCTCAGTGGCCCAGTTATCCTTGTCTTTCACAGCCTCGGTGAAAGCTAATTGTATCTTCTCCCCTGTTCCATCTTCTTGCAATGCGTGGAGCCTGCTTTGGAAGTCGTCAAACCTTTCCTTGTCCAATAGCTGATCCATAACACGGGTCAGCTCACTCAAAGTGGACTCCAATGTTGGGACTGGGTATTTCAAACTAGTCATGTTGCTGAAAAAAAAAAGAAAGAAAGAAAGAAAAAAAATCTGCCATAGCCTACAGACAATTCCTTTCCAAAGAAAAGAATAAGACACCCTCTATAAAAAGGGGTGTTAAAACATTCATTCTCAGTATATAGGTCCATTTAACTCTTTTTTTATTTTATTAAAAGTAAGCGAGTGGACGAATTATTTGTCAAACTGGAACTTAACTAACATGATTCTAGCAACTTATAAAATAAAATAATAATTACTAGTTTTATTTGTTCTCACACAAACAACAAACAGACTTATTTTAAAACCATCTCACATTCTCTAACCGATCTAGTTCATTTTACCAAAGTACAAAATCTTCAACTTGTCAGGAATCCAGTATGATGTCTAACGTCCCAGAAAATGTTCTCACTGTTTGTTTCAAATAACTCAATAGATAGCGGCGTTTACTTTCACGGTGTCGCCGGATCTTTAAAAATTGAAAAACCTTCATTATGTTTCTTGACACACGTCATTGTTTTTAGTTGCTTGATGTTTTTCGTAACATTTAAACCATTGATAAGATCTTCAATTCAATTTTATTCATTATTAGCAAGAGAATGTGGTGACAAGACAGTCAATTGTTTTAAATGAAACGCAGCAAAACTGCATTCTCATAGAGAGTAATTTGCAAAACCTTCTTTACCATGCATTGTGAACAAATTTACTTGAAATGAGAACAAAATGTCTCAGTAAAATAAATGTGGATCTTGAAATATCCCGTAAGCCTGGTCTTGTTTGTATTAATAACGTGCGAATATTATCCAAAGTTCATTTTTATGTTATTTTTAAATCTTTCATTACCAAAATAGGCCTTCGTTACTTCATCCCCATGCCAGCAAGACATAAAAATTTCAAGATTTTGAAAAAATCCTAGATTTATCACTTTCTGTCGTCAAAGATCTAGAAAAAGTAGAATTCGCGACTATATCTTTAACTTCATTTTTCACTTTTCTGTTTTCTTCAAATGGACCTATATACTGAGAATGAGTCAAAAGATTTCATGAAATAAATATCCATTATAGTTAAAACGATTTCAAAAACTAGTACCTTATTTGCTACCAAGAGTAACCTGACGTGAGTTCATCTAGCCAGCTATAAAGTATACCCAATAATAAGGTGCATTTCACATGCTCGGAAGTATCAAAAAATAAAATTGAATGAATTCAAAGTTGTATTTATTTTTTAAAAGATATATGTATATAGAACAAAAATACAATTTTACATCTATATTGATTTTTTACCATATCTATACATTATATAAGGAGCCTAAAATGTAAAGTACACATATGTATGTTCCAGCAACGTGTGTTCCGGGCCATATAATCTTAATTTTTATATTGCGTTCCGATATATTTTGTAATGATTCAGTCATGGTAAATTATGACGTAAAAATTAAGTTTTTTTTATAAATATTTAAATGCAGCTCAAGGGGCTTTGGGTCATGTCTAATATTACGTAACGTATGTTCCCCAGAAAGTTTCATCTTGCCCAAGTACTAGGTGCAATAGGAAACCGGGATTTCTGCTGTTGACTTTAAACTATATTGCAATTCCTTGATAGTTTGCCATTTCTGGTACAATATTTGGAACATGAATGGCAAATAGTTTATTTAATGCTTATTTTACTGTCAGTAGTGTGTATTTCCCTCTTTTTTAATATTTAGTAACAAAATTAAAGTCGCTCAAAAAAATTTACTGCTCTATACAGAAGATTATCATAATTTTGCACAACGTTATAGTTGTAGGATATAAATTTCAGCACAAAACCAGTGATGATTGGATTTCAAAGTGAGTAGGGGAGACCGGAGCAAGTTGGCCCAGTTAGACACTTTTGACCTTGTAGAGCCAACTAGAAATGAGTTAGAGTAACAAAACCGGTTTCAAAGTAAGCCCTACGTGTGCAACGTCATTATTTTTCAAATATAATGCCAGATGGCTTACAATTTGACAAAAAACGCAATTGACGACAGGGGGGCCAACTTGCCGCGTGGTGGGGCAAGTTGGCACCCTACACGAAAATGAAGTAAGTATCCCATGTAAACGCCTTGAAATACATTTTTATACATTTTTTATTTATTAAATTTGTTATAGTGAAAAATGACGACAGCAGTTTGGAGCTTCCGAACGTTTATTCACCGACTCTTGCTTCATACAACTTCACAAATATTTATACTCAATTTCTCCGTACTGATCACGCATTACTTGTTTTCTTTTCCATTGTCTTTGCGTGATTACAAAATATTTTCCATTCGCATGTTGCAAGTCACTATGCAACATTTCCTTATTAGGTAATCCCTAAGAGACTTGTTTTCAATTAAAGATATCTAAAATATTATTTGGATTACTCATATTTGGACCTTATCCAAAACTCAGTTATCATGTGATAAATAGATGATCAAAATTATTATATGTTGTGAAATTAACCAATCACATTAACTGTTACAGACTTTGACCTTTTACATCTTTTTCTGACACTAAAAACATGTTCTACACTTGTTGACTCTTGGAGATACTTAACTTACACTCAATAACTATCTGTCCTTTTACTCTTTTAATTCCGCTTTAATTGTTATCTGTAATTAATGAAAGTGTAAGTAATTTGCTTTACAACAAATTGATTTTTGAGAGTCTCTGATGAATAAATACTTCAGATGAGGCAGATTTATTGAGGTTTCCGTACGTCACTTGTATGTGTTGCAAGAACCAAAATATTTATCAATAAAATTTGTTTTGTTTTAATTAAGAATAAATTAATAATGGTATAAAGCGGGNATACACCCCTTCTTCAAAAGAATTCGTCCTCGAATTCTAAAACTTTACAACATACGCTCCTTTTTCATTTTTCTTAAGCAAAGCAAATACTAAATAACATAAAATACTTAAATTTTCAAAAAAAAAACTTAAATGATAAGGTCACATATATGTAATCAATTTAAATGTTATACGCAAGTTCATTAATTTCTGCAAAATTAAATAAAACAATAATACAATTAATGATAACTTTCGTTAAACACTTCATGTCTATCATAAAGTCAAGCAAAAATATAACTAAAAAAATAATTCTATATAAGTTACGTATACTTAAAATTAAAAACACATTCGACATGAAACCAAAAATATTAATTTGAATCTCTTATTATGGCTCTGAAACACTTTATTATATAGTTTTCTCTTTCGGTTGTCATTAAAGACATATGAGGAATGCACTACGTGAGACAATAGGGTTAGCTACTCCCTGTCCAATGAATATCGTTCACCACAACGTTGCGACCAGCGCATCGCTCATGATGAAGTACATTTTCATCTTCATATTTGTCCACATTGTAGCTCTCCCCTGTGATGATTATAATAGAAACACTTGTTCATGATAATTCAATCCACGGGTTTTATAAACTTATACTGTTAAATAAGTGAGTCCCAAAATGTGAGAATCTTCCTTAATGAATATAATCAGTTTCATGTCATCATCAATAACAAAAGTTAAAAATACACTGTGCATATAACAATAATCATTTGTTCAAACATCTATGACCGATAATCATAAGATCAATATGCAATATGTTAACATGCAGTAACATTGTAAAGTAATTAAAATAAAGCATGCTAATAAATGATCATGGATAACACAATAAAATGCTCATCATTATATATCATAGGACATAGTGACTAAAAAAAACATCGTAATATTTGTCAAGACTTACAAGTGTCATGTTAATTCCGTGCATCTCGCACACTCTCAATAATAATAATCTGAAATGTCTGGAATCATTGAAGTAACAATAAGAATGAATCATAAAGTCATTCATATGTTGTGATCGTACACACACTTCTTATACCAAAAGTTCACTCGCAAAAATTAATGCCTTATGTTTATTTAAGACACGTGTAGCAAGTCAAGTCAAATTCACTTTGGATTGAAATTAATCTGCATTATGATCAAATGGTTCGAACTGAATATAGAAAAGTGCAAAATCATGTTTAATGCGCAAAAATGTACAATATTTGTACTTGAATAATTTTCTGGGATAACTCATTCTAAAATAACGTTTTTTTGTTTATCATAATGTTTATATTTGTCAAGCCATGCCAATGTTTTGACAGATGTAGTCTGTAAATACAATTACTAAATGAACTTTTCTAAATTATTATAGTTATTACTTCACTTCGTAATATGAATGGATCTGTGGTTCTAAGTTTCTTCAGCATATTAATTTAATTTGCTGCGAAATTTTATAATCACTACGGTATAGTAAGCACTATATCGTTTACGTATACTTTTTAAGTAAAGCTTCTATTAGTGCCAATTGCCTGACCTTGATAAACAGACCAAATTTCATCACGAGCAATAAGCTCTGTATCCCGCATAAATATTTGAGGTGAATCATCTGTAGGAAATATTTCGTTTGTGTTACCAGTAAACTTTTCTGGCGCTAAAGTCAAATCTGAGGACATCTTCGTCTTTTTTCAGTTACTAATTGTTGCTAGGATAATGACTTTTGGTGATTTTCAATACCCAGCATACTCAGTTTTCGCTGCACTGGGGCACTGACGATGTTTGCCTCTGGGTGGATGGTGTGAACCCTTCGGTGTCTACGCTCCTGCTGCCGTTATCACCATAACTGTATCACCGTTCCGCTTGTCTCGGTAGAGCGGGGATCGATTTTTCCTCCACCACTTGTTATAGTGAGAAATAACGACAGCAGTTTGGAGCTTTCGAACGTTTATTCACCGACCCTTGCTTCTTACAACTTCACAAATATTTATACTCAATTTCTCCGTACTGATCACGCATTTACTTGTTTTCTTTTCCATTGTCTTTGCGTGATTACAAAATATTTTCCATTCTCATGTTGCAAGTCACTATGCAACATTTCCTTATTAGGTAATCCCTAAGAGACTCGTTTTCAATTAAAGATATCTAAAATATTATTTGGATTACTCATACTTGGCTCTTATCCAAAACTCAGTTATCATGTGATAAATGCATGATCAAAATTAAAATATGTCATGAAATTAACCAATCACATTAACTGTTACTGACTTTGACCTTTTCCATCTTTTTCTGACACTAAAAACATGTTCTACACTTGTTGACTCTTGGTGAAACTTAACTTACACTCAATAACTCTTTGTCTTTTTTTACTCATTTGATTCCGCTTTAATTGCTATCTGTAATAAGTGAAAGTGCAAGTAATTTGCTTTACAACACTTAGGCCTCAAAGGCGTGTTTTATATGGATCCTTATTATGTGAACAGTTTTGAATATATTGTTTGGTGATTAAGGGAAAAATGTGGAAATATCCAGAAAAAAGAAATGTTTACCATGCAAAGGACAAAAGCCCTTGCATTTTCCAAATTTCTAGGGGTGAATGTAATTTTATTTGTTCTTACTCTTCTCAAATCTTTTTCTTTTCTTCTTTTATTTCCCCCATTAAATATATACAAACATTCTACATATTATTACGTTATAGGTAACAAATACGGTACTAGAAACATGCAGCTATCTAAGTAGGCCTACACGTTAATTATCACAGCTGGTCTCACGGTTTAATGGATATACAGCTTCTTCTAGGGGAGCGCCTCGTTCTTACACATCAATTATATTACATAAAACGCATGGTAACTGGTTTGAGATATTTACTTCTGCAGATGAAGGGTTAACATTTGCAAAAGTTTGTCAATTATTCAATTATCACTAGTTTTGCAAAACTTTGTACCCACAGGTAACAAGAGCTGTGCTCACGTTGAGCTGTGCTGACGTTATACGTGCACAATATTGCCCATCTTCTCTGCATCCCTTGTCACATCCTCAGTTGAACCCGGTGTGGCTAGGAAAAGTAGTCAACTAGGAACCCTATAGTCCGATCCCCATTACTTTTTGCAGGTGACATTCGCCTCATATACTAACATCAGTACTCCGAATAAACCTAAGTTATAGTAATCATATGGGGCCCCAGACTTCCATTCATAGGACTTCCGTTCCTGTCACGACGTTAACGTCACATGTGTAGATGTTACGTCAAATAAGCAATGTTTTCCGTCACTCTCTTCTACGTTCAAAGTGCATAAAGTTAAACGTTGATCCATCATTACTGATCTCAACAAGCTATGATCACATGCACCATTAAGTTTATTTCCCTTTATTCTATTGGCTGTAGAAGGTCATTGGGTATATAACAGCCAGTCAAAATGCAAACAAATTCGAAAATAAAAACATGTTACAAATACGATATGTTGAAAAGTGTAACTGTTGAGGGGATCGAGTCTTTTAGGTTGCTGTGATACAGGGGGATAACACGCTTCGAAAAGCAGGTTTGTCGATGCATACTATGAAATATTGTGTGAACGCTCAGCTGCTATTATCTTTCATAAGTCCACCAAATGCGTCGATAGAGTCAGTGTAATTAGTTCCTCTTGGTACCGAACAAATGTTTATTTGTAAATCGAGGAGTGTCGTATTTGGTACCACTGTGTGGTAGTCGGGAAGTGCGTTTTGCATTCATTATTTCTTCCCACAAACGTAAACTCATCTGTGCCAAGATTTAAAGAAGAATACATCTCACTCCGGCATCCTGTTCGTGGCGGCAGTTGTGAACGGTCCAAGGACGGCTGTAGCACTGTTCCAGAGAAAGCTCGTCTCCGCGACAGGATACGTCATCAAGGTAGATGGCGCCACTCCCTGGTGTGACGTCACCGTCATCCATCACAGAGGCTATAAACCGGCTGGAATAAAAATGGAATATCCAATTAACTCCTATTTGCTCTTCCATGAACGCTTTAAAATCAGGTCACCCAACTTGTTTACAAGTAAAATCGACAGGAAGCATATCAATATATTCTCAATTGGCCGGTTGAAGTATCCGACGAAGACACGACGTATATACCGGTATATCATTATTATAGACAAATTTGTAAGCACAGATACATATATTTATAATCATATATTATACATGCCATTTACTCGTGTGTACAATCTTGGTCACAAGACAAAACAAAACGCATGGGACTAAATCTTGGACAACCTTTTGGACAAAGAGTGTATCTAATGTGATTCACATACCAGTAAAAATAGAAAAAAAATCTGCCCATTCACAATTACTTCTTAATACCCACAGTGTGGTTGCCCTGGTCTATCAAAACGTTAATCAGATAACCATTAACGCCATAACACTGTCACCTGTGTCCAAGCATCCTGCAGACCACTGTGGCGCTCCTGGCGTCCCAGCCATCACTGCAGATAGTTCCCCAGTGGCCAGCGTTCCTATCTCTCACCTCCACTCGACCTTCCTCACTGTTGGGAACGCCGTCCTTAATCAGGCGCACTGTTAAAGAGCCATTACAGATAATTACGCGGTGGTTAAAGTAAAAAAAAAAAAAAATACTCCTATGTTGCCTACACGTACTTTGATTAAAAAAGGTCGTAATGATAAAGATCATGCCAATTGAGTCCTGTTTTCTTATTATGTTTAACTCAAAATTTCAATTACATTCTACAATTTTAGTACATGTTCAATAAAAAAAAAGAAAAACTATCAGCCTGTAGGCATTTCAAATCAAGAACTTAGTTATATGATTCATTCATAACAAGGAAGATAAACTGCATGCACCTTCGTAAGGCCCGGGTGCAGGTATGCATTTCACACCTGCGGTGTGGTAGCTGTCGCAATCGGCCTCGTCTCCAAGGTCTTCTCTAACACATTCAAGAGGCGAATTCTCAACACCATTGCAGTGGAATGTAAACGGAGCTACGCGGACGTTACTTTTGCCGAAATATGAGCGTTGAAGTCCCACAGCACCAGTGTAGCTAAACAGATATGTTGTATACGTTGTTCGTTTGATGTTCAATTGCTCAATACTGATTCTCTCAATAACCAAATAAGTAAAAAAAACTTACGAAAGGACCAATAGTTTAAGACAAGATATAATGCACGTTGACCGATTTCAAATAATTGACGACATTAAAGGGGGTCTNTTTAGTCCTGTATTTCTTTTTTGAAAGTTTGGCAATCATAAGTAATGTCAGTAATTTCAAGTCATAACTTTTATTGTATTCTCTATAATACATTGTGTCAATTTTGAAGAGGCCGAGTAAGGCTTGTTTACCTGTCGCATAAAGAAGCCAGTGATAAGGAAGTGTATGAAGCCATTGGCTGGAGTACGTACTAAAGTGTGTAATATTGAATAGAGAGTCAGAATATACCTGAGCAGGCAACGAGTTCACATTAAACGATTGAAACTGGTCATTTTTGTCAGTGTGGATTTCCTCTGTAGCGTTTAGACGTAAAGATTTCGACCGCGAATCTGGAAGGTTATACTAAAGCGTTATCCTATCTAAAAGTTTCCAACGGTGTCCGTATTTCGAGCCTAATTCTAAATTACGTTTATATCTAAATTTGCGCAGTTCCGGACAGCGTGTAGGCCTTTTAACGTGCAACTTGGTAGGTAAAAATAAACTGTAGACTATGCTGAAAATAAAGCTGACAACCGGACATACATTGCCCTCCCTTCGTATTTTGACATTTTACAGACCGTTTCGTTAATTACATAAGATCGTAATATTGCATTTAGAATGTGGGAATCCCCATGGGGTTTCCTGACCTAGATGACCAGAACGAGGCTGTGACGTCATCTTGGGAAGACAATGGCTGAGAGTAGCGATTCTACACGCGAAACTTATCATCAAGATTTGAGTGAAAATGAAAGCTGGTCGGAGACGAATGAGTCGTTTTCCGAAGAAGAGGATGGTATCCTTAGTTTGAACGAAGTGGGACAAGCTTTGCCGCAGGTGAAGCCCTATGTTTTGGACCCGCCAGCGCCGGATGCAAGTACTAGTAGCAATGCCAGTGCTGCGGAGGGCAGGGGGTGCGTTCGCCGTGAAGACCGACGCAAAACAGATGACTGGTATGTCCGTTTTTTTCTAAATAACCTCGTTAGATAGTGGTGAATTACTCAGTAATGGGACAGTTTTGCTGTGCTCTTCATGTACACCATGCGCGTTTTGTTGAACGTCTGTTTTACTCTACTTTCCGACTACTACCCTGTAGTAGTAGTAGTAAGGGGATAGTTCACGAATCATAACAGTACATGAACATTCCACACGTACTTATCTGATATTTACATGATGTACCAGTACACGACAGATAAATGAAGGAAAGCAATGTTTATTTGAATTTTTTTCTCAATTTACGTCAATTGAAGTGATCCCAGCAGTTACCCAACACTCTGTAGACAAGACATTTAGCAGCCCACATTCCTACAAGTATTAATTAAGCTAAATTCACTATATTTCTTTATTTACTTTCAAGTGCGAACAGCCATCGAGTTACACGTGAAATGTATAACATATAGGCCTACATGTATAAGGTATATAGAAGAAGAGTAATTTTAAGATCTTTTTATATGTATACACATTGAATACATTCACTGTTAGATGTTAAAATACCTTATTCATGTCCTTTTTTATTAACATAATAATGTACATATTCTGGTTTATTAACAAAATAAAACAACACAATACGAGGCATTGCTCTCCAAATATAAGATAGACCTAGTTTAAATATTATTATAACCAAGACTTTGGGAATAAAATTATTTGGTAGGTTTGTGGGTCAATGTGATGTAATGCTCCCCCTCTGATCTGTGTCCATGTAGCCGTGAAGTCTGGTGTCCACTTGTTGGATTAATTAAAAAGGGAGACTCCTTGTGGTTGCCAGCAAGTGCTTAGTTATAAAAGTAATTTTAGTCTGCAACGATAATTTTGGATCAATTACAACTGTTAAATTTAATTACAGGTGCACCTGTGGGCATTGCCAAATCCTGCCAGGTGTATCAGAAAATATTTGCTGCCATGAAGTGGAAATACTACAGATGAAGAGCAACGAGGAGAATGTCCTCTCTTCTGTGTGTGTGTGGCTATGTCGGTCTTACCCAGACAATCTTGCATGCCCATGTGCCTGCTTGGTTATGATGTTGTCTAACCCTCTGAATGGTTTTCATGGAACAGTCTAACCTTCTGGCAATTCGGTAGATCAAAACTCCCTCCAACGTCAACCGCTTTGTAAAATGTATCCCTCTCACTTAGGAGTCGCATATTAAAAATAATTCAATTCAAAAATAATTTAAAGGGTCGCGCTAGGTAGGTCAATCTTCACATCACCAATTAACACGATGATCAGTTGCATAATTCTTCTTCTTTCTTCTTCTTCTTCTTCTTATTTATTTATTTATTCATTTATAATTATTATTAAATTTGAAACCCGAGGGTTGGATAAATACATTCTTTGCATCATAGTTGAATAAAGTTACTAAAGAATAAAAAAGTTAAAAGACATATGTTAACAAGTTTTAAATAAAATAACTAAAATGCAAGGTCAAAGATGAAATAAAGCGCCTATCATATCAGTCATTCTTTGAACTTGTATATCGCACGGGCTTAAAAGTCGATCATTGATCGTTTGGTTTAAATTTTGAGCCTTCTGGATGTCTAGGGTCCCAGTAATGAATATTTGACATTTTGTTTTGGTTGTAAAAGATAATGCAATCTATGATCCGCTTCATTTGATATCATAATAAACAACATTTTGCATGCATTGAGCCGCCTTTCACTCAGTAATTTAAGTTCACAAGCAGCGTCACATTCATCAGGATAAATTATCTTAAGAGCTCTTTCTTGAGACTTTTCCTCAAGGGCAGTCTAGTCATTTTTTTTTTTTTTTTTTTTTTTTGGATGATTTTGGCTGCATGTACCTTCCATGTGAGGTCATTAGAGATATTTGCATTCTTGTGTTTAAATGATATGGCCATTTGCTGTATTTAATCGCATATTGTTCTTCCTAGAGCAGTCCCATATTGTGTCAGCAATTTCCTGTCGTTTGCTTTCACCAAATTGTCTAACGATCTCAGAAACTGCTGCGTCATCCATATACTTACGACACAAAGATTCAAAGAGGTAGATGTAAATTGTTTATCATCAGGACAAAGAGCAACGGACCCAGCCATGATCCTTGAGGTACCGAGCCATTTATACAATACAAATACACAAATTAAATAGTGTTATATCTTTCATTATTCCTTTTGAAATACTTTTGTAGCCTTCGAATTGTAGACGCATTGCCCAGTAGGTTCCACAAGCCAGTTGAAGATTTTTTAAAGGCAGTTAAGATAAAACACTCAATTTAGATTCGAAAATTATAACAATAAACCTTAAATTTATTTTTGATTATGGGATTACCCAATTTCGCCCTATAGCAAGTTGTAACTCCTTGCTTATAGTGACTTCAGATGCAACTGAGTTCAACTAAGTGCACTTTATTATACTTGTATTCTTACACTCATAATGCTACAGTTCTCATCTATAAGCTGTTAAGTAAATATTCCATATTCACCAACTTCCATCCATTTGTATGATCGTGTGTCTATTTAATTTGTGTATTTGTATTGTGTTACATGTAGTTTGACACTGTGCAAGTGTCCATAATGTGCATTAGTGTGACTGAAATTTTGTTAAGTATTACATTAGTGCCAGTTTCTGTAAGAATTAAAATCGCAGCTATTGGAACACCGTTTCTTTTAAATTGTTGGGTAAAAATAAATCAAGGTCAAAAGTGGAATATATTAATCAATTAATATTTTGAGCGTTTTGTAGTTGAGCTTGAAATTTAACGTCCCTTATGCTTTCCCATATAAATTGTTCAGGCAAACCCATATCCACTGGCAATTTTCTAAACATTATATAGATGATTTACATATGTATAATAACCAACGTTCAAACCAAGGAATTATATAATTCCTTGTTTATACTGGGCGAACCGCTATGACATGTACCCAACATACTGAGCTTCTTCCTCTATAATATGGAATCTCTATAAAGCTCACCAAGTGATTCATAAGTTATGAAACTAGTGATAAACCGGTTGTTTGATAAGAAAAAAAAACTTATGGCAAGAGGAAATTTTTGACATCCATTGCGATATGTAGTGCAATAAAAGTAATCGGTTGGTCTTAACAGCCCCCCAAAAAAGACTATCAAAAGACAAAATTGCTCGAAGTAATTTATCAAATGTAAACTTAGAAATAAAGCTTCCGTCCTTATACTTGTGTGAGCGTGTGTTTTATCTTTTTTAAAGAAAAATAACTGTAATAGGCAATGCAGATATAAACTGTTCGAGTGCATCTGAAAAAGCCAAATCACAAAGAGTACAATGTATATATTCAATAGATCCACATTAAGAAAAAAAACTTTCCAGTTTCACCTCATTTTTACTTAAATTCACTTGGCTTGGTGATAAGGTGGGCAATATAGAGACACTAAGAGAGATGAATAAAAATTTAGTGAAGTCTATCGGCTTAGTGAGTCACTGTCACAGTAGTTTCGTTATGGGAAGAATTTACATTCGAGCTCAATAAATAACCAGAAGGACTGATTATTACAAGATGTGAACAAACAAGTTTTCATCAGCTACTCCCTTTTATTCATTCAAATCAAAAATAAAATTACATTTCCCATCACCATATTAAATATGCATGACAAAAAATAATGTATGATAACAATGACTTAACAACATTGGATGGATAAACCATAAAGCTTAAATTTCTGTTTACAGTTGTGTGAATATACTACGCTATTCATTTTTTCATACAAATTTAACACGTTTCATTATGGGATGCATGGCAGTTAATTGTTTTCTTCGCAAATGTTCCTTTGAATGAAGTTTTTGCTATTGTCTATTATCCATTTTACTCTAGAAGCCAAATCCATTTTACCTCAAAAGAACATCATCCATGCACAAGAGTCGATTGCACATTTAAGTTCAGAGATGAATTGATAGCCAGCAGTGCTCAGTCCGTGTTGACAATTTCCATTGTTCTTACAATATATTTTTTAATTTATAAGATATGTCTTTCATACAAATAACAATTTACTAGCTCATTTAGTTCAAGGAAATAATCCTACTTGCAAAACACCACTTGTTAGTACCACTCCCCCCTAAAAATTGATATTCACAAAAGAAAGGTTTTTTTTAATTATTACACACCGAATACTGGATACTACTAAATATAAACCAATCAAATTGATAAATAACAGCTTATGGAAGGTATTTCTTTCCTTTAAATCTTGGGATGACATGCAAATCTCGAACATCATCAT